GGGGGGAAGTAACATATGTAGTAACTAGGTGGTCAGGTTGTACGCGAGTAGATAGATACCCAACATGTCAAACCCTTAAATGTGGAAATTGGCAACAAGTGCTCCAATACCCCTAAGATTTTACCATAGGCAAAGCTTTAAAGCAGGGGTGTCCATGGTTGGGGCTCGGGATCAACACTTATGGTTGGACCTCAAAGGGCTGGTGAAGGTATCGTGTAAGACTAGATGTCCAGAGTATGACCCCTCCCCCCCATCTACATAAGAATGTCAAGAATCCCACAACCTCATTAACATCCCCCATGCAACCCTTTTTGGGGGGTGAGCGGATAGGTGGAAAGCATAAAGTGTGGGATCTGGAGGGAGGACCTGAGAAGGAAGTGGAGGCCCTTACCCCAGAGTCTGCGTGAATCCTGAGTCCAGGGGGAGGCTGGAGAACCTTGAGGGGTGTGCTGAGCCCTGCACTGAGAGGTGCGCAGGATTTAGGCAGAGGAGTCTACTGTCCCCTCTCTGCTGCCGAATGCTGAGACAAAAGGTGGGGGCAGAAGTGTCAAGTGGGGTGGTACTTGCAGTGCCAAGGGCCACGTGAAATGGCCTGGAGGGCCGGGATTTTGGCCCACGGTCCTGTGCTTGATTGCCTGTGCTTTAAAAGCCCCCTATAGGGTCATCAGTTTTGGGCTTTATGGAGGAGGGGTCCTGTGCTGGAAAAAATCAGCTCTCTAATGTGTATGTAGTTTTTGGTTTACATGGTTCTCTTTTTAATGAGAACGTCTTGCATGCACATACGATTCTTTCCCCTCGTAGTGGAAACCGGGACCCAGAAGTGATGTTCTATATGTTTGCCTCGGGTCAGCAGCAAATAAATGTGGAGGGCAAGCGTCACGTGTGTCTGCCCGGCGGCAACCCACTATGCCAGTCCTGGGGCCTACAGATGGGGCTTGGGGCAAAGCCTTACATGATGGGGGAGGTGATGGGACATTATATGGGGGGGGTGGATATGGAAGGCATTCTGCAGGAGATCTGCTAGTCAGAATGTACACATGAGTGTGTGTAAGGGCCCCTTCCCCCCCCGTCACCATCGAGGATCCATACGTTCTGGGTCGAACTTGGACGTGATAAGGAAATTAAAGGACTGATAATATGGGATTGCTCACATGGCAGTCCAAAGAGTGGATGTTTCACAGAAAGGTGGGAATGGTTAGGCAAGGAAATCTAAAGCCCCGGGGCCACACACGGGGTTCGAATTCTGAAAGAGTTTTCTACAGACTTTTTGTTCCAATTTTCAGCACCATTGGTGAGGTCACAAGAAAAGGCCGATTTTTCGTGACGACCATCAAATTTGTGTGATTTTTTTTCCAATTTCGTACAATTGGTGGGTCCACCAGTAATGGGCTATTTTTCATATGACCATCAAATTATGATCGTGATCGGGCATGTTGGAAATTTTTGTGGAAAATAATGAATTGTGAAATCATCGGATGGGAGAACCCGTGCAAGAAATATAAAGCTGGGAACCTGGAGGTACAAAGAGAAAATTTCTTGGCCCATGGAAATTTCTTTTCTGTAGCTACAGACCAGGTGAAATTGAAGGCTTGGTTGGTTGAACTGCGAAATTCAATGGTGGCGCAATCGGGTTAAAGAAAACGCACTAAATTTCCGATTTACGAAAGGAAATTTGAGTTGGGATTTTTGGACCCATCTATGGCCTGCATAAGTACTAAGTCTGGAAAGGAAAGCCTCACTTCACGCACCATATAAAGTGGGGACTGTTGAGGTCTCATGGGCCCCGAGTTCCAGACTTTTGAGATCTTATAACAGGGACGTAATCCGCCAAGGTGCTGTGCCATAAAGGATATCTGGTCCTTGTTGAAGTTGGCAAACTGGGCATTTGGGGGAGAAAGAGACCACAAGACTGAGCACAGCAGAGAGGATAGCCCGTATTCCATGGGGACATGATAGAAGGACTGGTAATATGGAAGTGTACAGTGTGGGGGGGGAGGAAGAGCGACAATTGCCACTGCAAACGTAGATTGACTAGTTCCCGACCAAAAGAGACGGCTACAGCGCGGTTGTCTAGTCCATGGACGTTCTCCAGAACACGCCCCCATCGGCGTGCACCCGGCGCCACAGATGATGCTGTGTCCTATGCCACACAGCTGATCACGAGATACGGTAAACACCCAACATGTGATCAGCCCGGTGTCCAATGACAGAGGAGATCTCCGGGTACATACAGTTGCCGGTTATCGGCATGCACTTTCCTTGCACTGTCACAGCATGAGGGAGAGAACTGCCGAGAACTGGCAATTGTCATGAAGTGATGGCACTGATCATCAGTACCACCCACCTGTACCCATCAGTGCCACCCGTCTATGCCCTGCAGTGCCACCCACCTGTACCCAGCAGTGTCGTCAGTCATTACCACCCATCAGTTGCCTCCTATCAGTGCCTCTTAATCAGTTCTGGCCTATCCATGCCACCTCATCAGCACCGCCCACCTGTGCCCATCAGTGCCACCCATCAGTGTTGCTCAGCAGTGCCACCCATCAGTGTTCAGCAGTTTGTCAGTGCCACCTATCAGTGCAGCATCATCAGTGCTTCCTATCCCTGCCACCTCAGTGTCGCCTATGAAGTTCCCATCAGTGCTGCCAATCAGTGTCCAGCAATGCCGCCCACCATGCAACCCAACCTGTGCCCATCAGTGCCACCCACTTGTGCCCAGCAGTGCCACCGCATCAATGTCCAGATGTCGTCAGTGCAGCATCATCAGTGCAGCCTATCAGTGCTTCCTATCCGTGCCACCTCATGAGTGGTCTGCCTATCAGTGCCCATCAGTGCAGCCTCATCAACACACACATCAGTGAAGGAGAAAAATTACCTGTTTACAAAATTTTATAATAAAACAAAGAAAAACTTTTTTGTTTCTTTTTTTTTTTGCAGAAAATAAAACCCCTCAGTGGGGATACATACCGCACCAAAAGAAAGCTCTACTTGTGGTGAAAAAAATGATACAAATTGCATGTGGGTACAGTGTTGCATATGACCGCGCAATTGTCCATTCAAAGTGCGACAGCGCTGAACAGCTGAGAATTGGCCTGGGCAGGAAAGGGATATAAGTGCCCGGGAGGCATTGGAGGGTTTTAGAAGTGTCTGTAGGCAGGAAGGGGGTAGAAGTGTCTGGTAGAGACAGGGAGGGGGTGTAAAAAGTGCCCGGGAGGCAGGGAGGGTGGTAGAAGTGCCCGGTAGGCAGGAAGGCTGTAGAAGTGTCCTTCTAGGCAGGAAGGGGGTAGACGTGCCTGGTAGGCAGGAAGGGGTGTAGAAGGTGTCCGTGTAGGCAGGAAGGGGGTGACAGTGGTCCTGTAGGCAGGAAGGGGGTAGAAGTGCCCGGCAGGCAGGAAGAGGGTAGAAGTGCCCGGCAGGCAGGAAGGGGGTGACAGTATCCTGTAGGCAGGAAGGGGGTAAGACAAGTGTCCCAGTGGGCAGGAAGGGGTAGAAGTGGCATGGCAGGCAAGAAGGGGGGGCTGACAGTGTCCTGTAGGCACCAAGGGGGTAGAAGTGTCCGGTAGGCAGGAAGGGGGTAGAAAGTGTCCGGTAGACAGGAAGGAGGTAGAAGTGTCCTGTAGGCAGAAGGGGTAGAAGATGGCCTGTAGGACAGGAAGGGGTAGAAGTGCCCTGTAGGCAGGAAGGGGGTGACAGTGCCCGATAGGAGTAGGGGGTAAGAAGTGCCCTGTAGGACAGGAAGGGGGGGTTGACAGTGTCCCTGTAGGCAGGAAGAGGGGTGACAGTGTCCTGTAGGAAGGAAGGGGTAGAAGTGTCCAGTAGGCAGGAAGGGGGGGTGACCGTTCCTGTAGGCAGGAAGGGGGTAGAAGTGTGTCTGGTAGGCGAGGAAGGGGGGATAAGTGCCCGATAGGCAAGAAGGGGGTAGAAGTGCCCTGTAGGCAGGAAGCAGGTGACAGTGCCCGGTAGGCAGGAAGGGGTGGACAAGTGTCCCTGTAGGCAGGAAGGGGGTAGAAGTGTCCGGTAGGCAGGAAGGGGGTGACACTGTGCGGTAGGCAGGAAGGGGGTATAAGTGCCCAATAGGCAGGAAGGGGATAGAAGTGTCCTGTAGGCAGGAAGGGGGTAGAAGTGTCCTGTAGGCAGGAAGGGGGTAGAAGTGCCCCTAGACAGGAAGGGGGTAGAAGAGCCCACGGCAGGCAGGAAAGGGGGTGACAGTGCCCCGATATGAAGGGGGGTAGTAGAAGTGCCCTGTTGTAGGCAGGAAGGGGGTAGAAGGTCCTGTAGGCAGGAAGGGGGTGACAGTGCCCGGTAGGCAGGAAGGGGGTAGAAGTGTCCTGTAGGCAGGAAGGGGGTGACAGTGTCCTGTAGGCAGGAAGAGGGTAGAAGTGTCCGGTAGGCAGGAAGGGGGTGACAGTGTCCTGTAGGCAGGAAGGGGGTAGAAGTGTTCCGGTAGGCAGGAAGGGGGTAGAAGTGCCCGATAGGGCAGGAAGGGGTAGAAGAGTCCGGTAGGCAGGAAGGGGGTAGAAGTGCCTTGTAGGCAGGAAGGGGGTAGAAGTGCCCGGCAGGCAGGAAGGGGGGGGTGACAGTGCCCGATAGGAAGAGGGTAGAAGTGCCCTGTAGGCAGGAAGGGGGTGACAGTGCCCGGTAGGCAGGAAGGGGGTAGAAGTGTCCTGTAGGCAGGAAGGGGTGACAGTGTCCTGTAGGCAGGAAGAGGGTAGAAGTGTCCGGTAGGCAGGAAGGGGGTGACAGTGTCCTGTAGGCAGGAAGGGGGTAGAAGAAGTGTCCGGTAGGCAGGAAGGGGGTATAAGTGCCCGATAGGCAGGAAGGGGGTAGAAGAGTCCGGTAGGCAGGAAGGGGGTAGAATAGGAAGTGCCTTGTAGGCAGGAAGGGGTGACAGTGCCCGATAGGCAGGAAGGGGGTAGAAGTGCCCTGTAGGCAGGAAGGGGGTGACAGTGCCCGGTAGGCAGGAAAGGGGTAGAAGTGCCCTGTAGGCAGGAAGAGGGTAGAAGTGTCCGATAGGCAGGAAGGGGGTAGAAGTACCCGTAGGCAGGAAGGGGGTAGAAGTGCCCGATAGCAGGAAGGGGGAGAAGTGCCCTGTAGGCAGGAAGGGGGTGACAGTGCCTAGTAGACAGGAAGGGGGTAGAAGTGCCCTGTAGGCAGAAGGGGGTGACAGTGCCCTGTAAAGCAGAAGGGGGTGACAGTGCCCCCCGGTAGGCAGGAAGGGGGTAGAAGTGCCCGGTAGCAGAAGGGGGTAGAAGTACCTGGTAGGCGAGGGGGTTAAGAGGCCTGCAGAGATTTGCCAGATTGGTTTCATCAGTCTTTTGCTCCAGAAAAACAACGGACGGAGGTATGGTTGCCACTGCAGTGGGCACCTATTCAGGACTTGTTCTTGTTCATTCTTGCAAATGTGTAGATCGCGTTGCAACGCTTCAAAATCTTGTTTCTTCTTCTAAAATACGTGAACAGGGAGGAGCTATAACAATTGCATAAAACATGAATAATGCAATGAACTCTCTACATCGTCTTTCAGATGATGTTCCTACACAAAAAACAATGGAGAACATTATAATGGCAGTCCCATAAAGATGTAGTCCTGTAGACCAAAAAATGTGCTCTTTGACCACGTGCAGGCAATAACGTGAAGGGCTCACTCACCAGAGAAAATAGACCCCGGATAAGGTGGGCAGATAGCTTTGTTATCATAAATGTGGACGACCAACAACAGGATCTCCTAAATCCAACCTCCCAGTCTCCTAGTATGGGATAAGGATCCAAGAAATCAAGGATAACTGCCCCCAGTTGGATGGTCCTATACTTCTAGATATGTCAGTAGTATATAGATTCTCGAGTCTCCTCAAAGTGAAGGTGGTGCTTTGTTATCATAGATGTGGGATGACCAACAACAGAATCTCCTAAAATCAAACCTCCCCAGTCTTCTACTATGGGTCAAGGATCCAAGAAATCAAGGATAACTGCCCCCTGGTTGGATGGTCCTATACTTCTGGATATGGCTAGTAGTAGATAGATTCGAGAGTCTCCTCAAAGTAAAGGTGGTGCTCCAAGTACCTGTCAGGGCTCCCAGGTATGACCAGAGATGTGTGACTGACACAGGGAAACGCAGACCTCAGATATGGGATAAACAATATAATTTATTAACACTAACAATACAAACATAAACGCAGTGCAATACTAAACATAATACAGTGCAAACAAACCAACCAAACCACCCACAGATAACAGTACATACAAGCAAGCGTCGTCAGGCAGGCCGGGTCAATATCAATTGGGCAGGTAGGTACAGGGGAGCAAGCGGAGAATGGTCGGGGTCACAGGCCAGGTTCAGCAGGTAGCAAGCAGCATAGTACAGAGGGTCAGGCAGAGGGATGGTCAGGGTCACAAGCCAGGGATCAGAACAGGTAGCAAGCAGCGTAGTACAGAGGGTCAGACAGAGGGATGGTCAGGGTCACAAGCCAGGATCAGAGCAGGAGAAGTCAGCAAAGGAACAGAAACAGGATGCAGGGCAGATACAGGGCCCAGGACAAACACAACACCAAGGCAGAGTCTGTGGTCTGGCCATCCCTTAAATACCCCAGTATCATCAGTTCCAGGTGTTAGCTGGCTGCTGCAGAGTTGAGTCTCTGATTGCTGGGAACACCCGCTGGCCAGCCCTGGTACTGCAGATCAAAAGGCAGGTGAGTCCCACCATTGCTGGCCAGTCCATTCCTAACAGTACCCCCCCTCAAGGAGCGGCCTCAGGACGCTCCAAACAGTCCTAGCTGGGCAAAAATGTTCCACCGCCCGGGTCTGGCAACTGGCGGGATATCAAAGACTGGCACACCGGGCAGGACTCCGGGCAGCGGCACACCGGGCTGGACTCCGGGCAGAGGCACATCGGGCAGAGGCACACCGGGCAGAGGCACATCGGGCAGGACTCCGGGCAGAGGCACATCGGGCAGAGGCACATCGGCAGGACTCCGGGAGGCACATCGGGCAGGACTCCGGGCAGAGGCACATCGGGCAGGACTCCGGGCAGAGGCACATCGGGCAGGGGCGGACTCCGGCTCCGGGGGCAGAGGCACATCGGGCAGGACTCCGGGGCAGAGGCACATCGGGCAGGACTCCGGGCAGAGGCACATCGGATTACCAGGCGAAGCAGCAGGCAGCGGGGCCACCAGGCAGAGCAGCAGGCAGCGGGCCCCCGGGCGGATCAGCAGGCAGCGGGCCCCCCGGGCGGGGCGGCAGGCACCGGGCCCCCGGGCGGGGCGACAGGCACCGGGCCCCCGGGCGGGGCGACAGGCACTGGGCCCCCGGGCAAGGCGACAGGCACCGGGCCCCCGGGCGGGGCGGCAGGCACCGGGCCCCCGGGCGGGGCGACAGGCATCCGGGCCCCAGGAGGGGCGACAGGCATCGGGCCCCCAGGCGGGGCGACAGGCATCGGGCCCCCAGGCGGGGCGACAGGCATCGGCCCCCAAGGCGGGGCGACAGGCATCGTGCCCCCAGGCGGGGCGACAGGCATCGTGCCCCCAGGCGGAGCGGCGGGCGCCGGACCCCCAGGCGGAGCGACAGGTCTCGGGCCCTCAGGCGGAGCGGCGGGCGCCGGACCCCCAGGCGGAGCGGCGGGGCCGCCGACCCCCAGGCGGAGCGACAGGTCTCGGGCCCTCAGGCGGAGCGGCGGGCGCCGGACCTCCAGATGGAGCGACAGGTCTCGGGCCCTCAGGCGGAGCGGCGGGCGCCGGACCCCCAGGTTGGTAGCGACAGGTCTCGGGCCCTCAGGCGGAGCGGCGGGCGCCGGACCCCCAGGCGGGAGCGACAGGTCTCGGGCCCTCAGGCGGAGCGGCGGGCGCCGGACCCCCAGGCGGAGCGACAGGTCTCGGGCCCTCAGGCGGAGCGGCGGGCGCCGGACCCCCAGGCGGAGCGACAGGTCTCGGGCCCCAGGCGGGGCGACAGGCATCGTGCCCCCAGGCGGGGCGACAGGCATCGTGCCCCCAGGCGGGGCGGCGGCATCGCCCCCAGGCGGCGGCGGACGGGCGCCGGACCCCAGGCGGAGCGAGCGACAGGTCTCGGGCCCTCAGGCGGAGCGTAGCGCGGCGGGCGCTGGACCCCCAGTCGGAGCGACAGGTCTCGGGCCCTCAGGCGGAGCGGCGGGCGCCGGACCTCCAGATGGAGCGACAGGTCTCGGGCCCTCAGGCGGAGCGGCGGGCGCCGGACCCCCAGGTGGGAGCGACAGTCTCGGGCCCTCAGGCGGAGCGGCGGGCGCCGGACCCCCAGGCGGAGCGACAGGTCTCGGGCCCTCAGGCGGAGCGGCGGGCGCCGGACCCCCAGGCGGAGCGACAGGTCTCGGGCCCTCAGGCGGAGCGGCGGGCGCCGGACCCCCAGGCGGAGCGACAGGTCTCGGGCCCTCAGGCGGAGCGGCGGGCGCCGGACCCCCAGATGGAGCGACAGGTCTCGGGCCCTCAGGCGGAGCGGCGGGCGCCGGACCCCCAGGAGGAGCGACAGGTCTCGGGCCCTCAAGTGGAGTGGCAGGTGCCGGACCCCCAGGCGGAGCGACAGGTCTCGGGCCCCCAGGCGGAGCGGCGGGCACCGAGTCACCAGGCACGACAGTGGGCTCCGAGTCAACTGGTATGACCCGCAGGCACTGGTCAGACATTGTATGGTCTGGCTGGACAGCAGGCATCGGGTCACCAGGCATCAGGTCATTTGGCTCGACAGCGGGCACCGCGTCATCTGGCAAGGCAGTGGGCTCCGAGTCAACTGGTATGACCGCGGGCACTGGGTCAGACATTGGATCGTCTGACCGGACAGCGGGCATCGGGTCACCAGGCATCAGGTCATTTGGCTCGACCGCGGGCAACGCGTCATCTGGCAAGGCAGTGGGCTCCGAGTCAACTGGTATGACCGCGGGCACTGGGTCAGACATTGGATCGTCTGACTGGACAGCGGGCATCGGGTCACCAGGCATCAAGTCATTTGGCTCGACAGCGAGCACCGCGTCATCTGGCAAGGCAGTGGGCTCCGAGTCAACTGGTATGACCGCGGGCACTGGGGCAGACATTGAATCGTCTGGCTGGACAGCGGGCATCGGGTCACCAGGCATCAGGTCATTTGGCTCGACAGCGGGCACCGCGTCATCTGGCAAGGCAGTGGTCTCCGAGTCAATTGGCACGACAGCGGGCACCGGATCATCTGGATCAACAGCGGGCATCGAGTCAACTGGCCTAATAGGATCGTCAGGCTGGATCAGTTCATCATGCTGGGTAGAGGCATTAGGCCGAGCGAGTAGAGGCTTCAGGCCGAGTAGAGGCATCAGGCCGAGTAGAGGCTTCAGGCCGAGTAGAGGCTTCAGGCCGAGTAGAGGCTTTAGGCTGAAGAGAGGCATCAGGCCGAGTAGAGGCATCAGGCCGCGTAGAGGCTTCAGGCTGAGGAGAGGCATCAGGCCCGCGTAGAGGCTTCAGGCCGAGGAGAGGCTTCAGGCTGAGTACAGGCTTCAGGCCGAGGAGAGGCTTCAGGCTGAGTAGAGAGGCATCAGGCTGAGTAGAGGCATCAGTCTGAACCACGGAAGGCAGGCTCACCGGTTTGGATACTGGCAGGATGGTATTGGTTGGAAAGAATTTTCGCTTTTTTTCTGGTTTTAACTACTGGAGCACTGCAAGTAAACGCAGGTCTGCAAACGAATGGAGCAGCTGGAGACAGAGAACTGGAGGATGGAACAGGAGAGGGAGCAGTTGCTACAGAGGGCTCTTTTACAGGGTTAAAGGCAGGATAGGTGCAGCAAGTGGGAACAGGGGACTGACATGCGGTAGATAGCCAAGTATACTGGGCTGTAACTGGAGGAGCTGGTGGGAATACAGGAGTAGAGTTAGAAGCAGGACGGGGTCTTTGTAAGCTGACTGAGGCTGGGTGCAACAAGTCTGTCCATGTCTGCAGTAGGGGTTGAACAAAGCTGAGCTTACACAAAAGCCTGTCTGGTCAATGACTGTACTGCGTTTATACAATCTCTTAGTGTCTGTGGTGAACATGTGGAATAACGCTCCAGAAAGTAACCCACATCATCCTCTAATAACCACACCAGGGACTCTACCTGGTCTGCACTAAATGGTGGCAAAAATTCATCCCTGCATTCGGGGGAACCAGATGAAACCAACTCTGCACAAACCTCAATCAATGGCTGCACCTCAGAGAACTCTGTGCCCTGATCTACTAGAACATGAGCGAGCCGTATACATTCTAGCAGTTCATCCCGGGGATACTCCTTCAGAGTCTGATAAGCATACTCCCTGTCATCAAACACTAGCAGAGATAAATACACAACCTCATCCAGATCCATCCTTCCCATCAAACAAGCCAAGATGGCTTCCCTGTGCAGCCACTTCTGGTCAGGATTGGCCTTGGTGTAATGTCAGGGCTCCCAGGTATGACCAGAGATGTGTGACTGACACAGGGAAACGCAGACCTCAGATATGGGATAAACAATATAATTTTATTAACACTAACAATACAAACATAAACGCAGTGCAATACTAAACATAATACAGTGCAAACAAACCAACCAAACCACCCACAGATAACAGTACATACAAGCAAGCGTCGTCAGGCAGGCCGGGTCAATATCAATTGGGCAGGTAGGTACAGGGGGAGCAAGCGGAGAATGGTCGGGGTCACAGGCCAGGTTCAGCAGGTAGCAAGCAGCATAGTACAGAGGGTCAGGCAGAGGGATGGTCAGGGTGTCACAAGCAAGCAGGGATCAGTACAGGTAGCAAGCAGCGTAGTACAGAGGGTCAGACAGAGGGATGGTCAGGGTCACAAGCCAGGATCAGAGCAGGAGAAGTCAGCAAAGGAACAGAAACAGGATGCAGGGCAGATACAGGGCCCAGGACAAACACAACACCAAAGGCAGAGTCTGTGGGTCTGGCCATCCCTTAAATACCCCAGTATCATCAGTTCCAGGTGTTAGCTGGCTGCAGAGTTGAGTCTCTGATTGCTGGGAACACCCGCTGGCCAGCCCTGGTACTGCAGATCAAAAGGCAGGTGAGTCCCACCATTGCTGGCCAGTCCATTCCTAACAGTAGCTTTCATTGAGTTGCTCGAACGGTAATGTAACTCATACAACAGATAGGCTTTGTTACCATAGATGTGGACGACCAACAGGATCTCCTAAATCCAACCTCCCAGTCTCCAATTATGGAGATAAGGATCCAAGAAATCAAGGATAACTGCCCCCGGTTGGATGGTCCTATACTTCTGGATATGTCAGTAGTAGATAGATTTGAGAGTTTCCTCAAAGTGAAGGTGGTGCTCCAAGTAGCTTTCACTGAGTTGCTCGAATGATAATGTTATAATTCATACATCAGATAGGCTTTGTTACCATAGATATGGGCGACCAACAACAGGATCTCCTAAATCCAACCTCCCAGTCTCCTAGTATGGGATAAGGATCCAAGAATTTAAGGATAACTGCCCCCCGGGTGGATGATGCTATACTTCTACTCCTGGATATGTCCGTAGTAGATAGATTCGAGAGTCTCCTCAAAGTGAAGGTCGTGTGCTCCAAGCAGCTTTCATTGAGTTGCTCGAACGGTAATGTAATTCATACATCAGATAGGCTTTGTTATCATAGATATGGGCGACCAACAACAGGATCTCCTAAATCCAACCTCCCAATCTCCTAGTATGGGAAAAGGATCCAAGAAATCAAGGGATAAACTTCCCCCCGGTTGGATTGTCCTATACTTCTACTTCTGGATATGTCCATAGTAGATAGATTCGAGAGTCTCCTCAAAGTGAAGGTGGTGCTCCAAGAAGCTTTCATTGAGTTGCTCGAATGGTAATGTAATGCATACATCAGATAGGCTTTGTTACCATAGATGTGGACAACCAACAACAGGATCTCCTAAATCAAACCTCCCAGTCTCCTAGTATGGGATAAGGATCCAAGAAATCAAGGATAACTGCCCCCCTGGTTGGATGGTCCTATATTTCTGGATATGTCAGTAGTAGATAGACTCGAGAGGTCTCCTCAAAGTGAAGGTGGTGCTTAAGCAGCTTTCATTGAGTTGCTCGAACGGTAATGTAATTTCATACATCATATAGGCTTTGTTACCATAAATGTGGACAACCAACAACAGGATCTCCTAAATCAAACCTCCCAGTCTCCTAGTATGGGATAAGGATCCAAGAAATCAAGGATAACTGCCCCCCTGGTTGGATGGTCCTATACTTCTGGATAAGTCAGTAGTAGATAGATTCGAGAGTCTCCTCAAAGTGAAGGTGGTGCTCCAAGTAGCTTTCATTGAATTGCTCGAACAATAATGTTATAATTCATACATCAGATAGGCTTTGTTACCATAGATATGGAAGACCAACAACAGGATCTTCTAAATCCAACCTCCCAGTCTCCTAGTATGGGATAAGGATCCAAGAAATCAAGGATAACTGCCCCCCGGTTGGATGGTCCTATACTTCTACTTCTGGATATGTCCATAGTAGATAGATTCGAGAGTCTCCTCAAAGTGAAGGTGGTGCTCCAAGAAGCTTTCATTGAGTTGCTCGAACAATAATGTTATAATTCATACATCAGATAGGCTTTGTTACCATAGATATGGAAGACCAACAACAGGGATCTTCTAAATCCAACCTCCCAGTCTCCAAGTATGGGATAAGGATCCAAGAAATCAAGGATAACTGCCGCCCGGTTGGATGGTCCTATACTTCTACTTCTGGATATGTCCATAGTAGATAGATTCGAGAGTCTCCTCAAAGTGAAGGTGGTGCTCCAAGAAGCTTTCATTGAGTTGCTTGAATGGTAATGTAATGCATACATCAGATAGGCTTTGTTACCATAGATGTGGACAACCAACAACAGGATCTCCTAAATCAAACCTCCCAGTCTCCTAGTATGGGATTAGGATCCAAGAAATCAAGGATAACTGCCCCCCTGGTTGGATGGTCCTATATTTCTGGATATGTCAGTAGTAGATAGACTCGAGAGTCTCCTCAAAGTGAAGGTGGTGCTCCAAGCAGCTTTCATTGAGTTGCTAGAACGGTAATGTAATTCATACATCAGATAGGCTTTGTTACCATAGATGTGGACGACCAACAGGATCTTCTAAATCCAACCTCCCAGTCTCCAATTATGGGATAAGGATCCAAGGAATCAAGGATAACTGCCCCCCGGTTGGATGGTCCTATACTTCTGGATATATCCGTAGTAGATAGATTTCAGAGTCTCCTCAAAGTGAAGGTGGTGCTCCAAGTAGCTTTCATTGAGTTGCTCGAACGATAATGTTATAATTCATACATCAGATAGGCTTTGTTACCATAGATATGGATGACCAACAACAGGATCTCCTAAATCCAACCTCTCCCAGTCTCCAAGTATGGGATAAGGA